CTGGCATCACATGACTCATTGCAATATTTAATAATATATTAACCTGGCCTGGTTTCAATATTTAAAAACATTGACCTTTCTTATTGGCATTGTGTTGTAATTAATTAGTTAAAAAATCATCAAAAGATTTCACTTCCAGAGAAACAGAAAAGTGAATCTTAAAATTTAGACTTCTTAGCCAAGTGCGGTGACTCATGCCTGTAATCCCAACACTTTGAGAGGCTGAGGTGGGCGATCACCTGAGGTCAGGAGTTTGAGACCAGCCAGGCCAACATGGTGAAACCCCCTCTCTACTAATAATACAAAAAGTAGCCGGGCGTGGTGTCGCATGCCTGTAATCCAAGCTACTCGGTAGACTGAGGCCGGAGAATTGCTTGAACCTGGGAGACGGAGGTTTCAGTGAGCTGAGAGAGCGCCACTGCACTCCAGCCTGGGCGACAGAGCGAGACTCCATCTGGAAAAAAAATATTGACTTATTTTTATGGACATTTAACTAAGTTGGTATTTTGGAGTAAATGGTTATTATTGTCTTCCTCATTGGAAATTGCATATGTGACTGGTGCTAGCTAACCGCTGGACTCCTTTTCCAGTTCACTTATATATATAACACCACAAATGCTGCTGAGGCCTATTTATTCATGGTACAGTTTCTACTATTTCTTGCAATAATTTGGCTTACAAATTATGTTAGTTATTTGTGGCTTATGCAGATAAAAACAATACATATCTATACTATATGAACAGAAATATGCTTAACAAAACCCCACAAATATCTATCTATAGTTATAGCTATGTATAAACACTTTCCTACTTAAGTAAATAAATTTAAATGTACATAATATTCACTCTTCTTTGATATTACTATCATAATTTTGTACATTTTATTCACATTAACTTTTTTCTTATGTGCATCACGTCCCTTTAGAAGCATAATTTATTTCATTTCATGATCTTTGTTACTACAAATGATCACAACTTGAAAAATGGGAGCTCCTTTAAGTTGACTGTTTTTCCTTTCAGCAGTGTCCCTGCCATTTAGAAAACAAATCACTCTTGTTTCCTGGCAACAACAAAATGTTACAGACCTATTCTGATTTTATTCTGCCCAATAACATGAAATTGACTATCCTCTAGTGGTTTCTGGTTCTTTTTTTAAATAGAACAATATTAGAGACAAAAATCTGGTCACTAGGGATGTTTACAAGTGTTAAGTGGGGAAAGAGTACAGCTATTACTGCTGCTTTGGGACTTCTCTTGGTAGTGACTGAGCTTAAAGAAAATACTTCTTTTATAAGTGTGTAAAATATTGTTCTTTCCAGTATAGCTTATCATATCGTTATCCCTTATTTTTCTTATTGTATGAGATTTCAGCAATTACTAAGAGTTCCTTCCTCTACATTGATGCACTGTGTCACCCAGCAGCACAGTAGCCCACTTTCCTCCCACCTCCTCTCTCACTCTCTGTTTTCTGGGACAATGGTTCTCAGCCTAGTTTTCATATTGGAGCAGCTTGGGGAGCTTTAAAAATGTTGATATGGGTCCCACTATCATAGCTTCTGATTTAACCTTCCAAAAAGCAGAATATGGTGTCAGGATTTTCTAAAAGCTCCATAGGTGATACTAAGGTGCAGCCAAAGCAAAGAACCTCTGTTCTAGAAAAGTGTTGCAACCTGAATAAAACCAACCAGGCACAGTCCCATGAAATTACACCACAGAGGTTCCAGGGATATCAGCTTGACATTATAAACAGAGAAATTAAATGAATGCTTATCTTTTGACTGCTTTGCTTCAGGAGCTTTGGGGATGGGGACTTGTTAAAGAGGAAAACACATCTGCCTTTTTTTCAATCTTCTTGGAAGACTCATGTGTACAGGTCGTTGACTTCTCCAATTGCTCCACTAGCATTTCTGTCTTTCAGCCTCATCTTCCTCACTCTTTCCTAACCTTGCTCTAATTACTTCAAGATTTTAAAAGGCCTTGATTTCTTCGTCTTTGAGGTTAAGATAATGTCTGCATGTGACACACACTAAATCTAGTAAAATTCAACAACGTATTGTAAAGTTCGAAAAAACCATAACAAGTTGGCAGTCAAGGGTCCTAGCTGCCTAAAAGGATTTGAGAAGCTATAACAGAAGTCAAATCTGCTTCTCTGGCAATGAGATTCCAGAAGGTCAACTGCAATGTTAATCCACATTTTTCTTATCCTTTTTTTTATCCTGTCTGTACACACTTTAGGGAGTGCTACATGTTTAAAGAAGTCTGAAGTATGACCTCTAGGATTAAACACTCCTCTGCCCCCACGCTCTGCTTCTCTCTCTCTCTTTCTTAGGGTTTTAGGCATCATAAAATTAATGAATTCATCTGATATAGGGAATTGATAGCTGATTATAATTATAGACCTTATTGACATATCTACCTCCACTTAAGTTACTTTTCCATGATGGAAGCCTGCATTCTTATAGTATGAAAAACAGAATGTCTGTTTTAGTAAGAGGACAAAGGCCTAGGACCTACTCTATTTCTGTGTAATCTATTAGTATTAGTTCTTCACTTAGTTCCCATACACACCCAAGTCTGGGAACCATTGTCTTAGGGCATCGAATAAGGAAGGGTAGTTGCTTCTCTAATGAGAAGGGCCTTAACAGAAGATGGTGAATTATTCTTTGCTCAGAGGAGTTTAGCTGCCTTTTTCCCTCAATTCCCTCCCTGCTAAGGATATTATAGATAGAGTCTTCTGTTTTTGTGGGCTGCCATCTTAGAAGCTTTGTCTACTCTTGATATATTGCCTGGTTAGGAGTTTAAGAAAATAATAGATGATGCTTTCAAAAATATGGCGGTCTCAATTCCCTCTTTCTTAGGAGTCTCAAACTTTAATATGCAAATGAATCCCCTGGAAACCTTGTTAAAATGCAGGTTCTGCTCCAGTAAATCTAGGTGGGACCTGAAATTCTGAAGATCTAATATGCTCTCAGATGATGCTGATGTTGCTACTCTGAGGAGCAAGGTGCTAGCTTTGGTTCTCAGCTTTGGCAGCATGTTAGAATATAGTAGGAATATTTTAAAAAATAATGATCCCTAGGTCCCACTCCTAGAGATTTTGATTTCTCTGACTTAATTGATAGAGAATATGGCCTGGGCATCAAGAGTTTAAAAAACTCTCCAAGTGGCCAGGTGCAGTGGCTCACGCCTGTAATCCCAGCACTTTGCAAGGCCGAGGCGGGCGGATCACCTGAGGTCAGGAGTTTGAGACCAGCTTGGCCAACATGACGAAACCATGTCTCTACTAAAAATACAAAAATTAGCTGGGTGTGGTGGCGAGACTGTAATCCTAGCTACTTGGGAGGCTAAGGTAGGAGAATCGATTGAACCTGGGAGGAGGGGGTTGCAGTGAGTTGAGATTGCGCCACTGCACTCCAGCCTGGGAGACAGACTGAGACTCCATCTCAAAAACAAACACTCTCCAAGTGACTTTCCTGTGCAGCAAAATTTGAAAACCCCTTGTCTTAGTCCACCATCAAAAGTTAACCAATATCACGTTTTCTTGTTTTGATTTTTGTGGTTTTTTTTTGTAAAATGGATCTTTTATTCACTCCTCATGCTATCAAATACAGCATGCTTAGATAGTTCAAAGCAGTGGTTTACAAATCTCTGTCCTCACTGACCCTGGTGTGGAGAAACTTCCATCAGAAGTGGTAAAATAAGAAAAATAAGGATAAGAATTATATAGTGAATTTCATAAAGCTCAAATAATTCATTTCAAGGATTATTCTTTGAAATTGTCTTTCACACCTTTTTGATGTTAAAAATATCCTTTGTAAATTAAATTAAGGTAGTAACATATTATACCTGTTTATTTGCTTTTCTCATGCTCTTAATTTGGTAAATAAAGAGTTGCAAATCTTATGTTGATCTCCACATTATTTTTGGAAATTTTGCTGGTTCATGAAATTTGAAAATCTGGGAGCCATGGGCATGATAAATCCACTAAAAATTAGAAAAAATCTGATCTGTAAGTCCAGAAAAATATTGTTATAGAAATATAGTTTTTAATCTTTGATCCTGTAATCCCTGGGGCCAAGCAGTCCTTGAATTTTGTAAGCACCAGAGTTTATTGCTTTCTGTGTCAGTTCAGGTCCACTAAGAAGCAGACTCCAAGAAGCAATTAGACTTGCAAGAGATTTATTGAGGGAAACACCAAGAAACAAAATGAGAGAGGAAGCAGGAATGGGCCAAAAGGGCCTTCAGACAGGGAGGCAGGTCTGACCCCTGTGGGAAGGAAGGACGGGTGGGTAGGGAGAGCCTCATCCAGTAATGCAGCTCTGAGAAAGTCTCAGCCAGGCTGATAGGGAGCCCCAGAGCACAGACTGCCCATCAGAGGGGTCCCCTGTCAGGAAGGAATGGCCCAGCGCTATTCTCCCCACCGTGTTCTGTCATCAGTTTGGAACAGCCTAGGGAGGGTGGCCTTAGCAGGAATGCTGCAGGGCATCCGAAGGTGTAGCAGCTAGAGTGTCAGCCAATGGCTCTCTTCAAGCAAGTTCTCTTCTGTAGGGCGATCTGTGTGTGCATTTCCATGGCTGCCACACTGGGACTTGCGATTCCACAGTGAAAATGTATCTTTTTTCTGTTGGATGATGTAAAAGAAAATTAGCCATATGGCAGGTCATTAATGTTTCTCTGTATATCTTGCTTCTGGTCTTGTCCCTTTTAACCAATGGCCATTTATCAATTATAATTCATCATTATGTCTGCTGGGCCCACAATTATCTCCATAAAAAATGTAAAATCGCTGGTCACTGGATAAGTCGTGGAAGGTAGAACATCTGGCTTAAGTAATGAATACGTGTTTAATATTACCTTTTAAACCTGTAATGTTGGTAGGTTTTTTCACGTAGTAAAAATTCTATTTGTTAGTATTTCTTGTTATTATTTCTTATCTTATATTAAATAAGGCATTATTAAGCATAATTAACTTAGATTATCTTTTTCTTGGTTTGCCACAGTGTATTGTCTAGCATGACAGATGCAGTATTGGCTCGAGTGTATAAACAATCAGATTTGGACACCCTGGCTAAAGAAGCATCCATCCCAATTATCAATGGGCTGTCAGATTTGTACCATCCTATCCAGATCCTGGCTGATTACCTCACGCTCCAGGTTGGTTTATTTATTTGTCTTACAAAAGAGAAAAATCAACAAATAATTCCTGACTTGCTCTAAGTGAAACCGTTTACTTAAATCATGGCATTGGGGTTTTATTTTCAAATACCAGCTTGACAAAGGATTATAGCTTATGTGTGCATTTTCTGGGGAAAACAGGGCATTGTTAAAAACAGACTCTAAGATCCTTCTGCACTCAACTCTATTCCCAAACTCTTTTAGCCCGTATCTCATCTTCTGTTCTGTCAATCCCTTTGATTTCGGTGCCATATTTAACACAATGAATGAATAGAGAACACTGGAGCATACAACATGGACAAGCCGTATGTGATTCTATAGACATCAGAGTCTGTGGCTTGGGAGTGAAGACTGGTGGAGTGTGCTTTGAATATTCAAAACGGTCAGTTACTAAGTCACTCTGGGAGAGGGGCCACTTTCTATCATTTTAACAAACTGGTTGTTTAAAAGTAGGTTTAAGAATATGCAGAATTTATAGAATTGGAGCTCAAATTTAGCCATTCTAGTCCTCCCAAATTAGGAACTTGAATAACTTTGAAAGATTTCCCTTGTTTGGTTTGCCACAGCCAATCTACATGGTATTGCCTCTGGAAATCCTAACAGCCATGGTTTCTATGTCTATGGATGACTGAGGAGACAAGATAAACTGGATAGGCCCATCTTCTTCCACATTTGAATAAACTACACACATTTAAATGTGAGGTTAAGCTCAAAATAAAACACTTTGGACATGAGGATGAGATCCATGCAGAGAAGATGATATAATTATGTCAGATACCAAAGTGACTGTCTGGGGCTGTGGCTTTACATATACACCAGATAATTTAATGCTTCCCCCTGGGGCTTTATCATTCATTACTAGATTATAAATTCATTGAGGGAAAATGAGCTGTCCTGTTCATCATAATGTCCCCTGCAGGACCTCGTGCAATGCCTTCATATAGGAGATACTTAACGTAGGAGCTGAATGAATAAATAGCAGCTTGTTAAGAGCATGGAATAGAAATCAGATGGATCTGGAATTAAATTCTAGCTTAGCTAACTAGTAGTTCTGTGATCTCCAAATTACTTAGCCTTTCTCTTTTTTAATCTTTTTAAATATATAAAATATATGAAACCTACAGACACTTCAAGAAAATAAAACAAACGTTCACGTGTTCACACAGTTTTGTCAATTTTTAACGTGATGGAGTAGTTACTTTATAATTCTTTGCTGTTTTTCAATAAAACATTACAGATAGAGTTGAAGCCCACCATGTGACACTGCCTGATCTCATTTTCTTCCCTTCCACAAATATATTATTATCCCGATATTAGTATCTTTACACATATCTATAGCCATAAACAACCAACAGTATTATTATCATTTGAGACAGAGTCTCACTCTGTCACCCAGACTGGAGTACAGCAGCATGATCTTGGCTCACTGCAACCTCCGCCTCCCAGGTTCAAGTGATTCTCGTGCCTCAGCCTCCGTAGTAGCTGGGATTACAAGTGTGTGCCACGTCTGGCTAATTTTTGTATTTTTAGTAGACATGGGGTTTCACCACATTGACCAGGCTGGTCTTGAACTTCTGACCTCTGGTGATCCACCCACCTCGGTCTCCCAAAGTGCTGGGATTACAGGCATGAGCCGCCGCACCTGGCCAACTAACAGTATTATTGAGCATCTTTGTCAACTTCATATAATAGGAACATGCTCTGAGCCACCATGCTACACTGTTCCAGGTATTCTGTATTTCCCCTTTCTCATACCAAAGAATTTCAGCTCCATAAAAGCAGTGATTTGTGTCTCTTTTGTTTATTGTTATATCTCCAGGGCCAAGGACAGTGTCTCAGTGTCTGGACATTAAAGGTGCTCATTTGTATCCAATGAATGAATATAACTAAGATTCAGATTTGAAATGTATGAAACTCTTAGTCTCTGTACAAGTTCATATGATGCCTTGGTTTAAGATATTAAGACATTTTACCATGTTTTTGTGATTGTACATTCATATTATTGAATTGCTCTGTGTAATGCAAAAAAATTGGGAATTCATTCCTTCTAATAAGGCACTAATATTGAGATTAAGACTATTTATTTTAACCTCAATAATTGCTACGCATAAGCGAATTTACTCCTGGATTTCCTCTCCTTCATCCCTTGCCTTTTAGGAACACTATAGCTCTCTGAAAGGTCTTACCCTCAGCTGGATCGGGGACGGGAACAATATCCTGCACTCCATCATGATGAGCGCAGCGAAATTCGGGATGCACCTTCAGGCAGCTACTCCAAAGGTAGGGAAACTTTTTGCCTTGAAACTAACCCCTCTCTTAAATCATCCTCAGATGCAATTACCCAGTGACAAAATAGCTTTCTTCTATTTAAGTATAGCACAGGTGAGGCCACAAAATTTAGGTTACGTTACTAGCCCTACTATTAAATAGCTATCTGGCCTCTTGAGAGTCCAATTTCCGATCTCTACAATAAGAGATAGTCTTGGCTGATGCCTTTTATTCTATGAGTCAGTGTTGAAAGCATGTCTGAATTATCCCTTTGAATACCCTGCTGTAGGCCGTTATGATGACTGGCATCGTGCATTACCACCACGAAGGCTGAAGAAAGCAATAAAATTCAGGCAGCATAGAATTCTCAACCCATGGGAATGATACTGTCATTTTTCTAATACTGCAATTTGGTAGAAAAATGTAAATTCAATGTGAAGATCACAGTGATGGCATCTACATCAGCTTAGTATTTCAAAACTCAACGCTGGGGGCCTTTTGGCTTATAAAATTTGAGCCCCACGTGGCTATGAAAATGACCCCTGCATACCTCCTACCTTGCTGCTATCTCTCACAGCATGTGTGGAATACATGACTTCTTTCATAGGCCCAATGTAACCCTTTTGATACACAAGAAACTGGTAATAATTGTTGCCTCTGAGGAGGGGAACTGGGAGGCTTGAGGATAGAGGTAGGAGGGAGACTTTATTTTCACCATACAGTCATGTATGGCTTCATAACGGGGATACGTTCTGAGAAATGGGTCCTTCGGTGACTTTGTCGTTGTGGGAACATCATACAGTGTACTTACACAAACGTAGATGGTATATATTTTTATTTATATATATTCTTTCACATGGTGAAATAAATGTTCCAGCACCATTACTAAATATCAACCTTAGGCCAGGTTCCCCACAAGCACACCACTGCGGGGATTTGTGTACAGATGATTCATTAAGGAAGTACTCCCAAGGGAGATCCCTAAGGGGTTAGAGGGAGCAGGACAGGGAAAGGGAAGAATCTAAGCGAGGATGCCATTTACAGTGACCAACCATCTCCGATTTGCCCAAGATCAAGAGATTTCTGGGGACATGGGGTTTGGGGTGCTAAAATTGAGAGTCCGGGCAAACCAAGGTGATGTCCCATGTCATGCACAGTCCCACAGAAAGCAGCTTCAGTCTGATCTCACGGGTGAGCTCTGGAGTGTAAGTTATGCCCTAAAGTTATCCCAGCATTGGTCAAGGGCAGCAGAAGAGGTGGAGTGGTAAATCCCCTGGCACTTTTGATGGGAAAAGCAGCCTGGTAGCCAGAGAGCTGTCCCCTGACGTCGAACTACAAGCACTAGGTGTTAAAAACACTGAAACTGGGGGAGGGAGCAGAAGCCATGAAAAGGGATCTCCCGGGTGCCTCTGAGTAGAGCACCAGCATCATCTGCTGCATCCGGCCAAAACAAAACTAGACACCACCAAATGCTTTCACCAGGTGTTTTTATCTTGCTGTCTTGGATTTTTAGGGCTGCCGTAACAAATTACTACAAACTGCATGGCTTAAAACAATAAAAATTTACTCTTTCACAGTTTTGGAGACTAGAAGTTTGATTAAGGTGTTGACAGGCCACACTCCCTGGGAAGCCTCTCACGGAGGATCATTTTTTGCCTCTTCCTGCTTCTAGTAGCCCCAGGCGTTCCTTGGCTTATGGGTGCATCTCTCTAATCTCTGCTTCCATCACTTTACCTCTGCGTCTGTGTCTCTCTGTACAAATCCCCCCTCTTCTTATAGGGACACCAGCCATATTAAATTTAGGCCCACTTTTATCAAGTATGACCTCATCTTCACTAATTACATCTGGAAAGACTATTTCCACATAAGGTCACATTCTGAGGTTCTGGGTGGGCGTGAATTTTGAAGAACACTATTCAACCAAGTACACTTGCCATAGAAAAAATTTCCACTGCATGCAGTGGAAGTCATCCTATTGTAGTAAATTTGCGGGACTCAGAGAGATGATCCTTACAACAGATAATTCTCCTCTTTTATTCAGCGTGAACTGAAATAAGGGTCAGATCCGATATGTGCTTAAGGTGGCTTTTATTCACTTTATGGGAAGGGTGAGTACACTCTCCATACAAAGCTAGTTTGAAGAAAGGCTCTGTATTAATGCAAACTCTTATTGCATTTGGTTCCCACAGATGAAACATACATTAACAATAATTGTTCGCTGGTATAAAGATCTTTTGGAAGGCTTCATTCTGTTGAAGAAATATATGGTTTAAACGTTTTATTGTATGACAAAGATGTTTTATTAACATCAAAGGAAAAAATTCTAATATTACAGAGTAATTGCAGTATTGTTCTTATGCAGAAACTCATTTAAATGATAAAGGGTACTAAAACCTGGTTAAACCTTGGTGGGAGTAAGAGTTTTGCAAAGTCTCCTGGAAAGTCTGATAGTGCAAAAGTCGTTCCATCAATTTGTAAGTCTTCAGTTGTTAGCAGACCTGTTTCCTTTAAAGATAAAGCTAGGAGATTTATTGTAAATTTTAGAAACACTGAAACGTTTCCAAGGCCATGATTAATCTATTTTCCCGTTCTTTAACCAAGAATAACTTACATGTTCAAGAAAAAATAATTTTGTCCATGATTGTAAAATTGCTCCATAAACTATCAATAGTAATGATTTTAACATTGTTCTAAGTGAATACTTAGACTGAACTGGGTGTGTTAGTCACCTTCTTTGTCTGGTTTTAAAATTTATGTAAAGGCTAGTGAGTGATTTAGTATTGAAAGCTGAGATGTGAGTGAAGAATTCCTCTCTGTATTCTAAGTCATGCCACAGTGCGTGCAAGGTTGGGTGATTTTCTAATTTCCAAACCTCTCTGTTGGTTCTCTAAGTACTTATTGATTCCTTTTCTAAGAATTATTATACTTAGGGAGTATAAAACCTACTCTCCAAAGGGAAGGCTAAATTTTCAGGGTAGGAGGCACCTGGGGTAATATCCAAGTCTCTTCATTTATGTTTACCAGTATGGCTGTTCACAACATTAGTTGCTAAATTAGCTAGCCTTTATTAATTACTTTCCCCAAATCTCTATAAACAAGGCCCCAGAATTCATCGCTACATGAGAGTAGAAAAGCTGCTAAAATGTCAGCAGGCATCTTCATCAACCTCTGAGTAGTTTCTTCTTTGAAGAATGCTTTAACGGAAGAAGAAACTATGGTAGACAATCACGTGCAAATAAACACAATTTCACAAATAAACCTAGACATGCCTGTCACTGGTTGGGTTCCTTGGGAAGCAGACTCAGAGTTTAGCGTGCAGGACAGGCAGGATGCTTATTAGCATTTGCCCTTGAAATCAACAACTGTGGAAAGGAAGGGAAGGAAGCAGGAGTCAGAAGAGGGAGAAGCTGAGTTGCGATGCAGGCCCAACAACAGCCTTGGCTGATCTTATGGAAAGTTCTGGATCTGAGATGTCCGTTCAGCTGTCTGAAGTTGGGCATAGGGGGTCAGGTTTTCTTACCCTCCTGTCAATCAGCCATTGAATGTGGGTTGCCCCGAAAGGGTGTGTGACCTTGGGTGAGGCTGCTCTCTGCAGCTGAGGTAGTGCCCAAAGGGGGCTGACAGCTGAAAGCCATCTTCTGGCAGCACTCCCAGTAGCTGGGGGAATAAGTCCTTTATTCATGATTATTCATGGAGGGGGATCTGGGGAGCAGACCACAGCATTCATCACAATGCCTCAGTGAAAAGTGATAAAAGTCAACTCATAATCAATGCTAAGAACTTGGGAAAATGAGAAGGATAGAGGAAGGTGAGGATAATGACAGTGTTTGAACTGACGAGACTTCCATATGGAGGCTCTTGGAGGTGAGGCTGGGCTAGAGTTTTGAGGAGCTGACACATTGTGATGAAGACACCCAGGAGGGGATGAGAGAGGAGGTGTTCAAGGGTGAAAGGCTGTGATGGCAGAAAAGGGCAAGATGTGTACAGGGATGACAATAAGATTGGCTTTCCTGCAGCAAGATGTTGAGAAGAATTAAAAGAGACAGAAGCAGGGGGTGGAGGTGGGGAGCCTTGATGCTCTTAATCAGTTTTGACTTAAGAAACAAGTAGTAAACATCAGAGGCTTCAGAGAAAACAGTTATTGCTGCTGTGTACAGAATAGGTTGGAGAGTGAGGGTAGAGGCAGGGAGGCTGCCTGTGGGAACCTGGGATAGCTTGGGGGAGCTTTAGCTGTTCCCATGACGTCCCCTCACCCAGAGTAGGAGCTAGGCTGAGCAAGCGAGTCACCTAGGGTGCAAAATTTGTGCATGCATGGCCCTGAGAATGCATGTTTCTTTAAATTTTTTTATAGCGCCTCCTTAAATGTTTTGCCCTAGGCACTTCGCTTGCCTCTCTGGTGTCTGACTCTGCCCTCACCAAACAATCCTGAACAAATATATAATCTTAGCAAAACAATGTATTTGTTCTGTTAATGCCTTTCAAAACAAGCACCCTGCACTCAAAACGCTTGCTGGGGAATGCCAAAGAATGAGACGTGTGTAATGGGGGAGGGGTATTGAGCTGGGATGGTCAGGGAAGGTTTTTCTGAGGAAGGGACATTTCAACTGAGACCTGAAAAAGTTATCCACATGGAGTGGGTGGAAGAAAGAATTTCAGACAAAAAAGGATAGCATGTGCAAAGATAGGCAAACATGCACTCATTTGTACACTTCTGAATATAATCCTCTTAAGTCATTATGGAAACCGGAAGAGGTGTGTCCAAGAGTTAGAAAGCACCATGCCTTATGTTTGCCTTTATGATTAAAGAGGTTGGAGATAGTGAAAGATGCGGCCATTTGTTGTCTTTTTAAATTCCAAAAGGCACTACTGAGTTTGGAATTCTAGGTGTAAAAATCATATTTTACTGAACATGGTGGGACCACATCTTGAAAAAGGGAAGAGAGAGGAGATATTGAAAAGAAAATAATATATATGGAAGAAAACATGTATAATAAAATTACCTAAATAACAGTTAAATTCTTCCTCCTGTAGGGTTATGAGCCGGATCCTAGCGTAACGAAGTTGGCAGAGCAGTATGCCAAAGAGGTATGCTCTTTACCTGTAAAGCTATGATTGCCTTTTACTGTCCCATGAAGTTATCTAACCAGCGTGCTTATGTATGCTAGAATGGTACCAAGCTGTTGCTGACGAATGATCCATTGGAAGCAGCGCATGGAGGCAATGTATTAATTACAGACACTTGGATAAGCATGGGACAAGAAGAGGAGAAGAAAAAGCGGCTCCAGGCTTTCCAAGGTTACCAGGTTACAATGAAGGTACAAATTGATGCCTCTCTGAAGGTTCATTAATTCCATTCATAAAGGCCAGAACCATCTAATCACTCATTCACTTTACGGGGAGCAGACTGTCCTTTCATTCCCTATAAAAATACTCACTGACTCTATCCCCTAGGGACTTCTCTCCTTCCAAAGATTAGCTGTGTCCTTTGGAAAGGCATTTTTGTGCTGGATGAAGCAATTTGAAACCCGGTCAGAAGAGAGGAGCAGGCTTTTCCCTTTCACAAGAATCGAGGCATTGCAGTGTTTTACTCTTTGTGTGTTTAAAGAAATTAGGTTACTTCTGATGCATGCAGTTTCTTGTGATTTCTCCCCTAAGAAAAGCCCCTTAACTATGCTCCTCAGGCTAGTCCTTGCCTCCATTTTCCAAGGACCTCTAAATCCAGTTTGGTTTTGCTAACTCCCTCCAGGGCGTTCCAGGGGACTCATCTGTTTGGCGGTCTTCCAGTAAGATCTGGAGCAGTGCTTCTCAGTCTGGAGCAGGTATTAGCATCCCCAGAGGAGTTGTTAATACACAGCTGGCTGGGTCCCACCCCCAGGGTTTCTGATTCAGTAGGTCAGGGTGAGACCTGAGAATCTGCATTTCTACCAAGTTCCCAGGTGATGCAATGCTGCTGCCTCCAGGGCCACACTTTGAGAAGCAATGTTCTGGAGAAATACCCTAAAAGCCAAGTGCACAGAGGTTTTGTCAGCAAAGCAACAAATCTACTTTGGTGGAGAAAGGGATTAAGCAAGTACAATTAATATTATACTGATAAAGTAATACATAAATACAAGTTCTTTATTGTTATATATAAAATAGAACAGAAGTTTGAAAAATAAAAAGTAAAAATGTCTTTCTCCCATCTCTTTAACAGAGACTATTCCTAGAGGTAGCCACTATTTAACAATTTGATGTGTCTCTTTGCAGACCTTTTCTGTGCATTCACATATATATGCCTCAATACACACATAACTATTGATTTTTCATAAATTTTAGACGTTATTTATTATTTATTATTATTATTACTTTTTCCACTTAACAAATCTTAGATTTTCTTGCTCATTCATTTAGATGTTTTTTTTTAGTTGCTGCATAGAATTCCAAAGGATAAGTGGAACCATAATTAACTTAAAATGTTTCCTATTGATAAATTAGGCTATTTCTGAGAATGCCGATTACAAAAATGCTGCAATGAACTTGCTTATACATATTTCTTTGTGCAAGTATTACTGGAGAATAAGATCCTGAGAAGAAGAATTTTGGGGTGAAGTGGTATATACTTTTTAAAATATGAGAGTGCTGCTAAATTGCTCACCCAAAGAAGATTAAAAATGTATGCTCCTGAAGCTGCATATTATAGTTATTTTTCCATACCCTCTCCATGTTTAGTTTTCATTTACATTTTTAATTTTTCTAAATCTGGAGGGAAAATGGCATCTCATCTTTTTTAAAATTAGCAATTCCTTGGTTAGTAATGAAGTTAAGCATCTTTTTATGTTTATTGGGCATTGCCCTTTTTTCTATAAATTGCTATTACATTTTTTGCCCATTTTCTATTTTTTCACCTTTTCTATTATTGATTATAGGAGCTCTTTATATATTATGGCTAATCCCTTATACATGTGGAACATATTTTCATGGAGATATTTTAAATTACATAAATCACCTCATACTTACACTTGCTTGGCCAATCTTATATGTGTTTCTGGTGCTGGAACTGTAGGCTTGAAGAACAGTCATTTTATTGATGTATGGCATGTATAAATGTTATTTTCTTCCATGTAATTTTGCTGGTATTTTAGAAACTCTAAGTGTTCTGAAACTAGAGCTTGGGTGGGAGGTAAAACAAAATTTTAGTATAAAGGCAGTAATTTTGAGGTAAGAAAGTATGAAGGAATGTAGTTTTGAATCTGTATGTGAACAATAGAAATATATAGGGAAATGTAACTTTCAGGAATTAACTGTTGGAGAAAATTAAAACTGCTAGTACATTTGCATTAAGAATGAAAAATCGAATGCATAGTGCTTATAATCCTGTTTAATTCACCCCTACCTCAGTACTTTGATCCAAATTGTTTTAACTAGTGATGAAGTATGCTTCAAGTGCTAAAAATAATAATTTGGAGATAAGCTCCAAATATAATATTATCACACCAAAGCAACTTTTTAAATATAGTGGACTATAATTGGTGACTTTTACTATCAGCCACATATTACATTAGTAGAGTTATTTACTGAAATGTCCACTGTTCCACTAGACAGAATACCAGAAAACTGAGTTACTGGTGTAACTTGAAGTGATGCTCTGTTAAATTAAAAAAAAAAAAGACTTGCTGGGCACGGTGGCTCATGCCTGTAACCCCAGCACTTTGAGAGGCCAAGGCAGGCGGATCATTTGAGGTCAGGAGTCCAAAACCAGCCTGGCCAATATGGTGAAACCCTGTCTCTACTAAAAATACAAAAATTAACTGGGCATGGTGGCGCATGCCTGTAGTCCCAGCTACTCAGGAAGCTGAGGCAGGAGAATTGCTTGAGCTCTGGAGGCGGAGGTTGCAGTGAGCCGAGATCGCACCACTGCACTCCAGTCTGAGCGACAGAGCGAGAATCTGTCTCAAAAAAAAAAATAATAATAATAAATGAAAGTACCACGTATATTTCTCCTGAGTATCTTGAGATAAAACCACCGCTCTGCTCCTTGTCTCTCCCTTTGCATTGATCTCTGACTGCAGGCCATGTGTGTTTTTAAATACCGAAGAAAACAAATATGACTGCCACATATAATAGTCAAAATATGGTCTTATCCCCATCTCTTTAGACTGCTAAAGTTGCTGCCTCTGACTGGACATTTTTACACTGCTTGCCCAGAAAGCCAGAAGAAGTGGACGATGAAGTCTTTTATTCTCCACGATCACTAGTGTTCCCAGAGGCAGAAAACAGAAAGTGGACAATCATGGTAAGCAAGAAACAAGGAATGGAGGGTAAGTTCTTTGTGTGGTTCCAACTTGGTCATTCATGCCTTTGGGGAAAGAATAAGCAAGTGAGATTATCCAACTACATTACTTGCTCATGTAACATCTATTTTTTTTCCAGAAACTTTATAATACATCATTAGTGCTTATTAGCATTTATAGTGTATTTGCATGGAGTGAGATTAATCTCCTTTCAAATAAATCCATTTTAACCAAAATTCTTACCACCCTTGATCCGCCTGAGCACCAGCCACCATTGTTTGCCAACCATTGTAAGTTGTATAATTCTTATTTTAGAATCTCTTTGTTCATGTTTAGAGAAGGCCTTAATTCAGTTCCTGTATAAACTGGGCATTCAAAACATCTTACTTTTTCCCTTCTCTTTTTCGTCATTCCATGCCTTACTTTATGACTGGGCTAGATACTTGTTTTGGTTCTTTGAGTTTGGCCATAGGGATACATGTGTTTTTAGGTATAGAACATTTCCAAATTTCATGGCAAAACTTATCTTAAAAATTAATGGTTCCTTTCAGATAAAGCCACTCGTTTCATCTCCATCACTGTCATTCTAGGAAATATTAACCATATGTCTACTTTACAATATCCCAAATGTCACCTGCTCTGGAAAATAGTACTGACATGTCTAACTTAGCGCCACCATTTTTTAGCTTTTAGTGACTTAACTGGTCTCAATTACTGTATCAGCCAGGATCTTACTTGCAAACGGGAGTCCACTCTAGGTAGATACATGCAGAATAATGTATTAAGAGACATTAAGCTGCTCCCAGAATCTTTAGGGAAAGGAAGTGCAGTGAATAATTCTTGGACACCACATAGCCAGGGACAACACAGGCAGAAAAACTGCCCAATGACACTGTGGTTCTTCTGTAGCCAGAACACCACTGACACAGCCTGGTGCCTAAGGCCCTTGAAACTAGATGTCAGATACTCCATTACAGCCACCACAGCTGAAATAGATTTCTCTACCTGCATATATAGCAGAAGATCCAATCTCTCTGAAGACGGCTTCTACTGCGTGTTGTTCACTTCTGCATCCAAGTCTGGAGTAGACGCAGCTGAGTGGGATGCCTGTACTCTAGCTGCAAGGGAGTTTGGGAAATGTAGTTTTTAGCTTTCAGCCTCTGGAGTAGAGAAAAGCAAGTTGGAAAGGACGAGCTGCTAATTATTTATCTAATCTATAAATTGGAATAGGGTTATTGTGAACATTAAAGTAATATTTGTAAAGCTTTTAGCATAGTACATAACACATAACACATGGTAAATATTGTTATCATAATTTTTACCCTCATTATCATCATCTTCACTATTGATCTGATACAGACCCAATAAAATAAGCAGGGGTTCAAGCTCAACTATGGTTGCTTGGCAGCCAACCATGACTCCCTTTTCAATAGAAGCTTGTATATTAGGCCTAAATTTGTCATATCTAATAACAGGGATGATTTTTTTTCACCGCATCTTTCCAGCTTGCCACCTCAGGACACTAACTTTGGCCAAAATGTCAACTGCCTTGTTATCTAGGCCAGTACTTCTGAAGCCTTAATATGCATTTAAATTACCTAGGGGGTCTTGTTAAGGTGCAGATTTGAATTCTGCAGGTCTAAGATGGGGCTTGAGATTTGGCACATCTATTTTTTTTTTTTTTTTGAGATGGAGTCTCACTCTGTTGCTGGAGTGCAATGGCGCGATCTCGGCTCACTGCAACCTCTGCCTCCCAGGTTCAAGCAATTCTCCTACCTCAGCCTCACGAGTAGCTGGGATTACAGGCAGGCGACACCATGCACGGCTAATTTTTGTATTTTTAGTAGAGATGGGGTTTTCATCATGTTGCCCAGGCTGGTCTCGAACTCCTGACCTCAAATGATCCACCCACCTCAGCCTTGAAAAGTGCTGGGATTACAGGTGTGAACCACCGTGCCAGCCCAGCCCTTCTAATAAGGACCCAGTTAATGCAGGTGCCACTGTCCTGCAGACCACATTTTGAGTAACAGATCCAGATGACAAAGAAGAAAATGTGAGCTCCCCAACCACATACCTCAGGAAGAGACACAGCGAAACATTTTCCTTGAGCTCTGTTTTGCATCAGAAGACAATTGAAGTTACAAAGATAAATCAAGTAAATCCATCAAAGTAGATCCTTTGTAGAAATTCAGTAGGGAAAACAAAAAGGAAACTTTCTTTTTTTTTTTTTTTTTTAGATGGAGTCTCGCTCTGTCGCCCAGGCTGGAGTGCAAACTTCGCGATTCCGGCTCACTGCAACCTCCGCCCCCTGGGTTCAAGCGATTCTCCTACCTCAGCCTCACGAGTAGCTGGGATTACAGGCAGGCGACACCATGCACGGCTAATTTTTGTATTTTTAGTAGAGATGGGGTTTTCATCATGTTGCCCAGGCTGGTCTCGAACTCCTGACCTCAAATGATTCACCCACCTCAGCCTTGAAAAGTGCTGGGATTACAGGTGTGAACCACCGTGCCAGCCCAGCACTTCTAATAAGGACCCAGTTAATGCAGGTGCCACTGTCCTGCAGACCACATTTTGAGTAACAGATCCAGATGACAAAGAAGAAAATGTGAGCTCC